AAGAAGATGATTAAACGACGAGGACGAGTAAGTAAATAACATCACTACGAAGATGAAGCACAATACCACGATTAAAAGATAAATCTTAATTAAATAATAGACACTGCAAATATATGTTCTATGTGACCTTGCTTTAATAATATCACCGGAAGAAGTGCCGCAATAAACGATCTCATCTCTCTCGTCCACGGCGATGCAGTTGATGATGCGCTTCAATTTGCCCACTTCCATGTCGATCCCGTGCATCTTGCGCTTCTCTGTCTCGATCCACCAGATCTTCAATGTCCTATCGCCTGAGGTAACGAAACATTTGTCGTGAAGATGCGTCCTTGCGATATTATATGCATCGCCGCTTATGTCATTGCTGGCGAACGATCCTGTGTAGAAAATTGTTTTTTAATATTTGAAATTCACGTGTTGAATTTATTATGTGCAGATTGAAAGAACCAATTGAAAGAAAAACATCTCGTGTTTCTTCATTCAAACATTCTAGATAGTAAAATTGTAGCAGTTTACTGACCGATTGATAGCGAATTCGATTAGATTTTTATTACAGATCCATATGTTTACATTAATCTCAGGATCTGTCAGGATAAAGTTTGCTGACATGTTTTGCCAACAGATTGGCATTGCATATCAGCAGACTCTCTGGCGACAATTTACCGACATTGTTAGACGTTACAAATTTTGTGCAAAATTTGTTGTCTTTCTGTAAAACATTCATCAAACGATCGATAATCATCGTGATAATATAATCATCGATAACGAGATCTATTCAAAATCTGTCTTTGTAAATTTAATTATCTACAAAAATCTCATATATGCGATTAAGATTTTCCGTGCAGATTGGCGTGGATTTGATGAAAGAACATTCTGAAGAAAAAATACCGCAAATAAGAGAACTTTTCCGGACATCCCAGATGATTAAGTTTCCGTCGTCCTTGCCGCCGAGACTTACGAGGAAATCGCTGTTGCTGGTGAAACACAAATCCACGACGCTGACTTTGTGCGTCTCGTAACTGCTTTTTATCGTGCCTTCCTTATAATTCCATACGATTACCATAGCCTGTGAAGCGAAAAAATGCCACTCAATAAAAGTGAATATAATATCGGATATAATTAGATATGAGAATATTAAAGATGTACCTTGAAACCAAGATGATTGTTTTGACCAGAAGCAATATATTCGCCGCATGGAGAAACGCACAATGTCGAAACATTGTTCGTGTGACCGCTGAGGAATCGTTGTTTGCCAGTTTCGATGTTCTTTATAGCAACCTTAAGGCCCATCGGATAGAGGATGTGCTTTTCATCCGGATGCAAGTGTAGAGCGTTCTTCGTTATACCTTAGAAAGTAAACGTATATATAATTATATGTACAATTCGAAAGAAACGTAACAAATACAGTAAATAATTATAAATAAATGTAAAATTAATTTAAAATATAAAATAGAAAGGTAACACGCCATATAAAATTTCATGTCGTCAAAGTATTGTTTTCAGATCTTTCAAAAATTTAAATCTCCTGCAATAAAAAATGTTTTTATCTGATTGATATTAATCAATATTATTTAATCAATCTTATTAATCATCCATTTCGCTTAATTCGCTTTCGTTTCCGTCAATATATTTCGAAATTCACTTAATTTGTTAAGCTCGATAGAATTCTGCATTTCCCTATCTAAAATAAAATCATGAAAGATAAGATAAAAAAAATTGCTGCTTCTCGCACAAACCATCAAACGCGATTATTCCAATCGCTTCGAGATTCTGAGGCTCCATATCGCTTTGTTCAATGATACTATACAATAATATTATGTTGACACAACATAAATTCGTAGACTGTGTAATTGTGGAAACAACGACGGCGTCACCGTGGTGATAAATTGACTGTTTACCCCATACACTCTCATCAATGCAAAAATGGTTATCCTTATATCAGACACAAATATAAGAAATAATCAATTTTTAAATAATTTTAAATTGTCATATATTTGCGTGTGTCTTGCAACAAAATTAAGATATAAAATTAAAATTTTTTATTAAAAATATATCATATTATTATGTCCAATATAATTAATAATTATAGAAATATATTATTTCTATGCACTTTATATAATAAAATTTAAAATATTATATATATATATATATATATATATATATATATATATATATATATATATATATAGGTCTAAAAATAATTTTGTTAGGTCACCAAAATAATTATGTAGAACGTTCAAATTAGCTCCTAAAATATTATATTTTTGTAATATTATTATCATGCTTATGCTTATGTATGATAATAATACTACATAATTATTTTTTAATTGATTTAATGATCCAACAAAATTACTTTCAATTTTATATTTAACAAATTTTTAGATACTTCAATAAAATTATTCTTTCTATTTTTAGAGCAACTTTTTAGATTTATAATTTGATAAGTATAGATTCGTAACATATGTGAGATACATGTTCAACAAAAATTAAAAAAATTTTGTGCACAAAATTCGGAAAATTGGAAAGCGCATTTCTTTTAGAAGTATACGTATCGCGAAAAGTTTTCTCGCGGAAAACGAGATGTCAGAACGATTTCTCTTCACTGCCGATGCGCATAGTGTCATAAAATTCAATATTCGACATAAAGCTGTCCGGAAAAACTAGAGAGAGACAATCGACTCCCTCTATTTCTCTCAAAAACGTCGAAGCACGCGACCAATTCGCAGCCGTAGTTGAGTTTATCACTTCCTCGCCGCTCTTACCTGTTCCTCTGTCATTCCCCACCCTGGATAATGCGCGACGAGCACACATGCAGATATAAAGCGAACTTAACGAGGGTGCCGGATTCAGTCGCTCGTGACACGTGCGTACGATTCGCCGGGGACAGGATAGGAGCGGAATCCATCCGCGTCGGTGTCTTTGCATTCAGGAAGCACGGGAAGTCCTTGCAGCCTTCGAAAGGGCGATTTCGCCCAGAACGCCAACAGTTTTGGTTTTAACAATTTATTAAAAACGAAAAAAAAGGAATCATCGGCGCATTCGTGTTTCCCCGAGGATAATTCCCTTCAAAAATGATTTCCGCGTGGAAAGCATGCTGTAAGTATGATCTCGCGCTTATAGCTCCCTCCGTGAGAATTCGTTTGTTGGATAAACGCGCGTATCTGACCGATTTCTTATTCATCAATTCGCGGATTCCGAGTGATTTACTAATTCTATCGATTGCGGTAAATCATTGCGCGCGCGCACGAGTGAGTGATTTGTTTCATCGATATCAGGAATTCGTACCTATTGAATACTAGAAATCAATTGTAGCGGAGAGGAACGTCGGCATGTAGAACATACAAAAAAAACAGATCGACGTTGAATATCATTTTGCAATCTCTTAAGTGGGTGATATGACCGTGAAGCTATCGCGAATGAATTAGCATGCGAAGATAGAATCGCGCATACCGCATAAGTTTTCTCGAAATTGTGTCTTTTCGATCAGCACCAGTGATTGAAGTTAGCACGCGCATCTTCGATATATTTTATATAGAAATAGAGTTTTTATCAAAATATACAAATCAATCGACATGTATCTAATATAACAAACAAACGCTGATATTTTTGGCCATCAAACAGAACGCCTAATGTTTATGAATTTTATATGCTATATTTACGTTTTCGCGAGATTCAACTAAAGAGTAAAAAAATTGTATCTATCATTATATTGCAAAGTGCGACTTTGCCGCAAGTTAATCATCGATTAACCAGAAATCCTGATTTGTTAAAGCTGCATTTGCCTAAATAATCTATCAACTTTCACGCTCGCTCGATCACGGAAAATGCCTTGACATTAATTACAACCCGTTCGTTTGCTCAACACTTCCTAACATTCAAGTAATCGCAAATGTATCCAGCAATCTAATCATATAATTAATCATTATTTAGTCAATCATTAATCATTTCTCTTAGCTGAATCAGATCGGAAGGAGAATTAACGGAACCAATCGACTCTCGAGGCAAGGATCGGAAGCAAAAAGCTAGTGAAAGAAATAAAACAAAATCCCGGAAACTCCGATTCTTTCCTCTATTT